AAGCAGTTTTAGGGTTAAAGTGCCATCTCTGGGAATCACAAAGGACAAGGGCCAGCCACCCATCATAACCTAATGTTTAAAGTGGTGTTGGGGTGAGGAGGGGCAGACAGATGTGGCGACCCAGCCTTGTCTTTAGAGTTCATGGCTTACTACCAAAGGGAGACGGGAAGAGAGGTGTATAATGAAGCAAGTCTCTGATCAAGGTTGCTCTAAGAAGTAGTTCCGACTGTCGTCCCCTGAGAGAGTCTGGTTCTCATGGGATGATGGCGGCTGCCTTGCCTGGAGAGGTAACCACCTCTGGGCACGGTCTGCCTGCTAGGCCAGGGTTGCTTTTGAGTAGTTTTAGTCCCTTGTCACAGTGTTTACAGATGAACCCTGTTCCTAGAGCCTGAGGTGAGAATATCAATGAGGTAAGGTAGGTTCAAGAGGTCAATGCCAAGACTGGGATTGACCCCATGGAGCGCTTGGGCCGCGGCTGGAGTCCCATCCTCCGAAGCACCCTTTCGGTCTCTGCCTTCATGCGTATGTGGCAGTCTTCCTTGTGCAGAAGAAACCAGAGTGGGCCATAGCCTACCCCGGCAACTTACCTGAATCTCACGACCTCTGTGAAGACCCTGAACATCAGGGCTGCATTCTGACACAGACTGGACCACATAGGAATTTCAGAACCGTAGCTGAAACCTTTACATTGAGTGTGGACAACCCTTTCCTGGTGCCACACCCACCCACCCCGGGCCTGTTTGGTGTCATAGGTAAGATGTGCAGATCACTGAATAAAAATAGTGGGTACAGTTTCCATAGAGCATGATTTCAAAACGTGAAACTCTACAGAGATTCCACACTGGCCCTTAGATTTGCCAGCACAGGCCTGCCCCTCAGTTAGACGTGTACCTGGAGAAATCTCTCCTCCCCCTTCTTGTTTCTGTTACTGGGCCAGGCCCAGAGGGCCTTAAGGGGCTTAAGCCGCTTAGCTGTTTAGTGGCTGGCACCTTCTGGAAGACCCTCCTGTTTGTCTGGGAGGTTCTGGCAGATTGTCCTGCTGAGGCCTCCCCTCCCTGAGTCCATGCAGCGGGGTTTCCCGTGCTGTGCTCACTGCATCCCCTCAGCACCCTGCAGGCCGCCCCTGGCGGGTTCTGTGAACCACTCTGCTAGTGGTAAAGGGAGCATCCTAAATTTTGCTGATCTAGAGAGTGGAAAACAAATAGACAAGCCTTTCCTGGAGCAGCCTCTCACCCCGGCACATCTCAGGGCCACAAGCTGTCTAACTCTTCAGATAGTTTCCTTTGGGCCTTCCTGAGTCCCTGTCTTGATGAAAAGTTATGCTCTCTTACTTCCTCTCCATGGGCTGAGGGTGGGAGCGAACACCTAACCCTAGCCTGCCGTTTCAAAACCTTGCCTTCTTAGAGCAGCAGTTCTCGGCCTGCGGGACGCGGGACACGACCCATTGGGTTATGAGCCCTTTCACAGGGGTCACATAGCAGATATGTGCATTACAATTAATAACAGTAGCAACATTACAGTTAGGAAGTAGCGGTGAAAGTAATTTCATGGCTGGGGGTCAGCACAACGTGAAGAATTAAAGGGTTAGGAGGGCTAATAACCACTGGCTTAGAGACTAGAGGAGAGCAAGGCACTAAGGACGGTGGACAGGGTTTCTCCCTAACAGTGCCAGCTGGCCGACTGACATTGCTGTCCCAGAACAACTTAGTTAACTGGCACATTTATGTACTCATCAGTCCTAACAGTGAAAAGAGGAAAACATCAGGCTTAATATTGTTATCATTTATATAAAATACTTCATTGAGTCTTATTCATTGTATTTGAACATGCGTGTGTGTGCGCATGCGCACGTGTGTGTGTGTGTGTGTGTGTGTGTGTGTGTGTGTGTGTGTGTGTGTGTGTACTATACATAGCACATGTGTGGAGGTTGGGAACAACTTAAGAGTGTTCTCATTTTTTTGTGAGGGTCCCAGGGATCAAACCTAGTTCCTCAGGCTTGGCAGCCGACTCTTGACCACTGAGCCCTCCCCCAGCCCAGTTACCCATTGTTTTTTTTTGTCCTTTGAAGCAGGATTTGCCTTGTGACCCTGCCTGGCCCCAGACTTGCAAGCCCTGAGGGCTGCTTTTGCTGACCTTGCCTAGGTGGACAGTCACTCATGGGGGGATCACGGGGGGCATGGACAGTCAGTCACTCATGGGGGGGTGGAGGTGAGGGGACAGTCACTCACAGGGGGATGGAGGTGGGGGGACAGTCACTCACGGGGGGATGGAGGTGGGGGGACAGTCACTCACGGGGGGGGGATGGAGGTGGGGGGGACAGTCACGGGGGGATGGAGATGGGGGGACAGTCACTGGGGGGGAAACACATAGCATTTAGCTGTGCTTCATAACAAGAGAGTTTAGTCACCGGCTTAAAGAGCGCATTCTTCCATCCCAGCTCTCCAGTCTGAACCTCAGCCGGTTTATCCTTTGGCATATTTACCGGTTTTTAGAAATTTCCAGCCACTTAGTTGTTTCTCTAGTAAGTTGATCTTCCGAGTAGGGAACTGCTATGCTCACCTGCCCTGTCTTCGCTCATGCGGCCCTGTAGGTCTGCATGCCTTACTGGGCAGTGGGCAGACAGCAGGCTGTTTATTGCTTTATTCCGCAGAGGCCGCTCTGTTGAGCGACAGGGATGAAGACCGCCGTTCACTGTATTTAGTCATCACAGTAGAATCCACGTAGCACTTTAAATGTGATTAGATGTTTTCGTATGCAGGATTGGATAATAAGAGGTTAGTTCAAGTGCAGCATGGGGGAACTCAGTGAGAAGTGAGCTCGGGAGGTCACGCGCCGGCAGGTCATCAGGACTTAAGAACTGGCTGTGGAGAAGCAGTGTCCGTAAAACCAGCCCGTACCGTAAAGCTTGAAATACTCAAGGCCTCTACGCATAGTTGTGGGAGACAGGATGGTGACGTACGGAGTCACAATTTCTCTATAACAGCAACGGTGCTGACGGGGCAAGAAGGTCCGCCCAGTGATGACTTTTCTCCAGCTTTACTGTCTATGAGGAGAAATGCAGCAAGGATGGAGAGCCGGCCAGAAATGAACTACACCGTCTTCTGAAGTCAGAGTGCCTCACAGGTCTAGACAAGCACACACACACACACACACGCACACACATACACATACACACAGACACATGCACACACACACGCACACATGCACAGACACACACGCACGCACACACAGGCACACACACGCACATACACACAGACACACACAGTCACACACACATAGACACAGACACACACGCACATACACACACAGACACACATGCACACACACACAGACACACACACAGACACACACATGCACATACACACAGACACACACACAGACACACGCAGTCACACACGCACACACAGACACACACACGCACATACACACAGATACACACACAGACACAGCCAGACAGACACACACACACCACACGCACACACACACACAGACACACACACATACACACAGACACACAGCCAGACAGACACAGACACACGCAGACACACACACCACACACAGACACACACACACACTGACACATACACACAGTCACACACACACAGACACACACAGCCAGACAGACACAGACACATACACAGACATACACACACAGACACACACACATGCACAGACACACACACGCAGACACACACACAGCCAGACAGACACAGACACACACACAGACATACACACACACCACACACACACCACACACAGACACACACACACCATACACAGACACACACACACACTGACACATACACACAGACATGCACAGACACACACACGCAGACACACACAGACACGCACACACAGCCTGACAGACACACACACAGACATACACACAGACATGCACACACACACAGCCAGACACAGACACACACACACGCACGCAGACACACACACAGTCTCACACAGACACACACACAAACCACCCACCCTCCTACCCTCAGATACCACACATACATACACACGCACACACAGAGACATACACACACGTGTGCACTGTAAGACCTGTGCATCTCAAGAACTTCAGTGATGGCATTTGGGTGTGAGTGTGGAAGGACTTGGTCCTGGCCTACTGAATAAGCCGCACAGGAGACCTTTGTTGTTGGGAGCTTTACTGTCTGTCTCTTTCTCATGCATGCCATATTTCACATCAGAGAATGCAAACCGGGCATGAGCGAGTTGTTGGCCCTGTAAACCACCTCTTCAGAACTGGCTTTGAGATGTGCAGCTCTCAGAAGCACATCCCTCTACCTGTGACCCTGTCACCTAACTGTGGTGGCCTGGCATTCCCAGAGTCACCACAGCAAGTTTCCCCTTGTAAAGAATAACCCTGCTTGTTCTTGTCCTACAGTGACTTGGACATCTGCAGCTACTCGCTGTCTTCAGCGGCCTTGAAACAATGTGGCAGAGAACCTTAAACTTAAAAACCTTTCCACTTTCACTCAGGGCTGCTTCTTCTAGACCAGAAATGGTTTGTCACAGGTTATAAGGGGACCTGTCATCCCAGCACTCAGGAAGGCTGCAGTGGATTGCCACAAAGCCCAAGGCTGGCCTGGGCTACATAGCAAGACCCTGGCTCCAAAACACAAACAAAAAAAGTGTCTTTTAAACACCTAAAATTTAGCCTTTCATCCCAGCACTCGGGAGGCAGATGCAGGCAGATCTCTGTGAGTTCAAGGCCAGCCTGGAGAAAAAAACAAAAACTTAAATTGTAATAGGAAGTGTGGTGCAGCATTCGTATTCAGACATGGCTCATTTATCTCTTTTATACCCTCACAAAACTTCCCGCTGTGTAAATGTGGGCCTGGCTTCCTTGACAGTTTGCGTTCCGTGGTTGGCACAACTGTCCTGCCTCCCTCGTCAGACAGGTATCAGTGTGTGAGGTCTTTTACTCTGGATCCTAACAATTTAATTCTTGGCATCTTTTTTTTTTTTTTTTTTTTTTCCAGAGAATACCACCGTGGCTTCCAACCAGACCAGTGAGGTTAACAGTAGTACCGTGACTTCAGGGGTGCCGAGAAGTGTCTCAGTGGTCACTGTGACGCCTGCAACTATTGCTAAAATATCAACACCAGGGGTCTCCCCACACATGACCCCCACTGCCTCAAACGCCACACCCAAAGCAAGTGCTTCTCCAAACTCAACCCACACGTCGACCGCCCTGATGACCACAGGCCACAGCAGCTTGAAGACATCGATAACCAGTGTGTACTAAAATGACTTCCTTTTTCTGTGTTGTAAAAATCAGTTGTTAAATGTTCAAGCCAGCATCCCATCCTGCAAAAACATGTGCCCAGATTTTCCCGCCTGCCCACTTCAGCATTCTTATGTAGACACTCAGACTTCAGGACATGCACTGTTTTAAAATACAGTCTGTTTTGTTTCCTTTTAGTAACAACAACTCTTCATCCTGACAAAAGCAAAGGATCAAAGTTTGACGCCGGCAGCTTTGTTGGAGGAATAGTGTTAACGCTGGGAGTTCTGTCTGTCCTCTACATTGGATGCAAAATGTATTATTCAAGGAGAGGCATTCGGTATCGAAGCATGTAAGTTTGGCCATTCTGCATAGCTTTAGCGTGACCAGTACCAGAGTCCTCCCAGGGACAGACTTCTGCTCTGCTCATGTGCAGACTTTTGCTCACAAATGAAAGCACACCTGTGGGCTTTCCCTGACATCAAACACTGTTCTGCCAACATTTAGCAAATGCCTTCTGAGTTTTTGCTTTCACCGTGCGTCATAAGAAATGACATACCAGGTCTTATCAGCCTAGTGACTTAGTTCACCTGCCCTGTGTATGTATGTCTGCAGTACCAAGGAGCACTTTTGATAAAAACATGGTTTTTACTTTTTTATGGTAGACACGGACACAAGAAAATCTTCCCTGCTAATAGAAGTTACTACTGTATGCACAGCTCTGTGTGCCATGTGTGGTGTTCTGGGACTTGATCCTAGCTTGAAAGTTGCTACAGTTGCCTAACCTCCTAATTATACCCTTTCCCTTGTATGTACGTGACCAGATAATGACATGTGACCTAGGAAAAGTCACAGGGACTTGACTATGGGCCTGTTTGGCAATGTTAACCACTGCAGCGTACTGGGTGTGCATAAAACTTAATGCTGAGCAGCAATAATTAATTTTGATTGTGAAAATGGAAATTGTTCTAGTGTTACCTTCCTTACAAACACAAATTTTACAGTAATTAAAACTTTATATATCTTACAGTGAGGAACATGATGCCATCATTTAAAGGAAGAAGAGACTGCAGCTCTATCAATTAGTTTGGTTTATATTAGTTTAAAATATTATTTTCTTGGAAATAGTATAAGCAAGCCATGCATAAAATGAACAGTGTGTTCCATGAATATCTGGAAATCCCTCATTACTAAAGGTAAAGGGTGTGGTCTGGGCGGTTCAGTGACTATTGGGAACTAATGGGTAATTTATCCGGTGATTACATTTGCTTTAGAAAGCCAGGGCAAGACAAGTCCTGCATTTGGGAGTGTGTGCGTGGCACTGATTGTCCCGGGGGCAGGGTCCTGTGGCGTACACAGCCTGCCACAACACTCCACCTTCTGTGTCTTTGTTGATGGCGTGAAGAACCTGAGCGCCATGCAGAGCTGGGTGTGCCCTAATTCACACCTGGGGCTCCACAGCTCGGCTAGCCAGTGCACGGTAAGGAAGAGTCAGCATTTGAGGGTTTAAAGTCAGGGTTGATGCAGAGAACTCGCGCCCCGACACAGCCCCCACAACACCATGCGCGTGTTAAAGGCCACCAGAGCGCTGTGGAGCGTGGCCTTTACTCACCTCCCCTTTTCAGCTGTCCTGGCTGATGTGCCTTCTGTTCTGTATGGTTGAGAAAAGCTGCAGCAGCCGGCCTGGCATTGCAGGAAAGCACGCAGTCTGCTGCCATGGAGACCTGTCACACCGCTCAAAACCGCTGTTCACAGGCACCTGCCAATTTGAGTTGTAGCGAATGTTTTTTCTTTTTTAATCAATTTAGAGCTGCTTCCCATATATAGAGACCTGTAATGGAATGTAAAACACCTTTTTAAAAGTCCCCATTATATGATTTCCAAATCAGTGTTAGAAGTCTGTATCGATGGCAAAATATTGTTTCTAAACCAGGGACTGGGAAGCCACCCCCAGGGCCACTAAACCAGGGACTGGGAAGCCACCCCCAGGGCCACTAAACCCCCGGGGTAGAGATGCTGTATTTTTATACTAAGCTATATTTTGGAGTAAATTCCCCTTGCTCATCCCCAGGCCACTCCTCAGCCCTGGAAAGGGAAGCTGCACCCTGGTGTTTGCAGGAAAAACCCTGTCTGGTCACCGCAGCAGCCCGTGTCTCTGTGGTCTTAAGTTCTATAGTTTATATCCCAGGTCAAACTCAGGGTCATGTTTAACAAAGGAGGGGTTTAGTCACAAAATACTAATATAATATTTCTACTGTAGAGGGCCAAAAGAAATTACAGCAGTTTCAGACAGTTTATAAATAAGCCAAAAATGTCCTAATGAGTGCACACCTGTTATAGTTACAAGTGTAAGTATAACTTTTGTAATCTGCTTCTGGTTTTTAAAAAGTGCAAACTACCAAGAATTTTTCATATAAGTGAGAATCATTCCCCCTTGCTGTGGATTAGGGCCATCATGGACCGCTCAGATCTACGCTAGCACAGAGAGGAGGGGGAGCACTAGGAATGGGACAAGGGTTAGGCCAGTCTCGAGGCTGGACCGAAAGGAGACCAGTCTTTGTCGTTGGCCGCTTGTCTGTCTTCGGGATGTAGGGGGTGGTGAGGGCCTTCAGGTCTAACGTCTTTGTTTGCTGCATCCCTGGCCCTTCAGTGCCAGCCGAAGATGTCCTTGACTGCCTGTCTCTAGCACTTTGAAGATGAGACCCACTTCCTTAAAGCACCGTCTTTATGTGCCTCTTAGTTTCCACTGATGAGGGGTTAAAAGTAATGTTATTATGGCTTTTCTAATTTGTTACTCTTAAATGCCAGGACCTTTGTTGAAGGGGTTTCTTTTTAACCTGCCCAAATTGGCCACTTGTCTTTCAAGACTGGCTTGAGCAAATGCTTGTCTCTGCTAGCTTTCCTACAGAATGTGCATGTTAAGATAACACATCCTAGATGTTCAGGTGGGCACCGGACTAAGCTCCTCTGGCTTTAAATTCTACTTCGGCAATTCCATAAAAGGAAATGAGAGAGTTGGTGACATATTTTATGGTGTAATAATTTTGTATCTTCAGGGAAAAGATTAGCAAACTCTTGTTACCCTTTTTTCTATAGTGACCAATTTTGGTATTTCATTGTTACTAAGATGTATTTTTAGAATAAAATCATCCTCCATTCAGAGTTTGTAGTGTTTTGTTGAATGTTCACAGAAGTTCCTGTTTTATTATATAACCCTCTTGCTTGTACAGTAAAGGCCTGCTTTTACACGTAGGCCAGACCCTGAATTGTTTAGTCTCACAACAAAAAGTGCCGCTTCTTGGCACAGGCTTTTCCCTTGGGGTCTCAATATTCTTGGGTGCAGTTTCTTTTGCAGCACATTAGCAGCCATCCGTTTCCACCAGAGGTGACACCCCCGCAGCCACTTAATTTACTCCAGGAACCAGATGCTGCTATCTCTCCCACACAAACTCACGGCACTCCTGGTGTAAGCTCTGAGGCTGCACCATGCCTACCTATGCTTCTGACACGGGAGACATCCCCGGAGCTTCTTTCCGCCATGGACCCTCAAGCCACGTGTACATTTAAAGTGCTAGCCCAGCTGTCTGTCAGTGGGACTGAGGCCTTGCTTCAAACCGTGCCTCCAGGCCTAGACATGCAACATTGGTGCTACTCTCTTAGGAGGCCACTGTGTACTGAGCCTCTTTACTAATGCTGGCCCATGCGGGTCCAGAGAGTACAGACTTCACCCTCACACTGCAGCCACTGCAGCCATGTGCGTGTCGCAGACCTTCTTCCCAGTCCTTGGCTGCTTCACGGGTCATAGCTAAATACTGTCCTGAGCTTGTCACAGGAGCCCCAGTCTGAGAGCCCTGCTTCAGTCTGTGGACCCAGAGCCTCTCCACAGGCACCTTTCACAAACTAGTGATGTCACCGCAAGCTGGACCCCGCACCTTGAAAAGCCTCAGTGATGACCTCTGGGGTACGAAATGACTCCAGAAGACATTCCAAGTGAAGACCTACAAACCCTGAGCTAATCACACGGTACAGAGCTCTGAGGACCTTACAATGTCTACCAAGACTACCTCAGCCGCCAGCTGTTCCCACTAGTACTGGGGCATTATACCTCTCACCAATGCCTGCCCTCCCTCTCTCCCTCCCTCCACCCCTCCCTCCTTACTTCCCAGGTAGCTAGAGAGCTCCAAACTATTAACATATGAAAGTTATTCAGAATAATAATTCGAAGGAAAATTAAACAGAAGATAACAGTGCAACAAAATTAAACAAGTGACAAAGTGAAAATTGGAATATTATGTTAAATATGCTTTACATTACTGTAATAAAATAGCTTGATACTCATCCTATAAAAAGTGTTTCTTGCCTAAGTTGGGGGGACTGTTTATCTATGATTGGTTGGCTGCTTGCTTTTGGGCAGAGCATCACAGGAACATGTAACAAGGAAACTGTTTTTGTGGTATCTGTGGGCAGCTGGATCCAAAAGATACCAAACTCCACTTAAAATCATCACAAGAGTACTTGCAATGCCCACCTAGTACAATGAAAACACTATATAACTAGTGGGCCAGGCCACAGATACAAAGTATAAAGTCACAGAGGGAAAAAAAAATCATGTGAGGAAAGGAAATCCTACACAGTTTATGAGCCAACGTCACAAGTGAAAATACAGAATACACTCTTAAAGGAAGAAAAAACACTTAAAGGAATAACAGCTAGACATGCCCCAATCCTGGGGGGGGGGGAATATTTTTAAAAATCCAGGTACAGAAAGATGCAAAGTCACAGATCATACTTGATTGGGATGGATTACACTGTAGCTGTCCAACTGCCAAACACTGGCAGGATCCTACACAAGAAAAAGGTGCGCAATACCACACAAAATGTTCCAATTTTACCATCAAGATTTCAGTGCTAGAAGAGTGGGCCGGTACGACCTAGTCACCATTCTGGGGGGGGGAACAAAAACCCAGCTAAATGGCAGAGCTGTCCGTCAGACACAACGCTGGTGTAGGTGGCGGTCCGTCATTACACTATGGGAATGCCGAGGAGCGAGCCTGGTGGAGTGGTCGTGGCAGCCATCTGGCTCTAGCATGGGCATCAGGAAGATGAGGCGTTTATAGTGACAGGTGCGGCACTACTGTTAGTGGGTACATGACATGAGAGGGTGAATTATGACGAGCAATAAAAATGGCAAGGGTATGGTAAAAGTCCAGAGTAGTTTACACAAAGTTGTTACTCCCTAAAAATAACCACTGGGCTATATACAGCCAGTGGGTACACAGAAGATAAAGAGTAAAGCAAATGACCACTGCTGGCAAAGAAGATGACCCAGTCACGGAAGACAGCCAATGGCTTTGCAGGACCCAAATAAGAGCACAACTCTTGCCTGTATACACAGGTTCAGATCTCTGACCTGAAATACTACAGAAGTGTCTCAGGGTCTGGACATTAGAGTATCTGCATATGCAAATGAGTGTCTTAGGGATGGAACCTGTCTAATTTGTGCAAATTAACCATTAGCTGAAAGGTAGCATATATTTTTATTATGCCTTTGTTTTGACTGAACATCACAGGAGGTTGGGTATGGAAGTCTCATGTATGAGCTCAAGGCCAGCCTGGTCTACACAGCGAGTTGCAGGATAGCCAATACTACACAGAAACCCAGTCTTTAAAAATAAAAATAGTGAGGATGCTCGACTTCCAATATGTTTACTAAATAAATGAACTAAAGCATCTAATCAAAATCATTGACTGACTGGGAGATGCTCAGTGGGTACCTAGATCTTTGTGTAAGCACCAAGGCCAGAGTTTGGATTCCCAGCCCCCACCTAAGAGCTGGGGTGGCAGTGCCCACCCATAACCCTAATGCTGGGGAACAGAGACCAGGAGACCTCTGGCCTTGTTGGACAGCCAGACTACCCAGAAAGGTGAGCTCTAGGTTCAGTGAGAGACCCTGCCTCAAAAAGAAGATGAAAAGTAGTAGAGGAAGATCATCCAAAAGTAGCTTCCCACCTTCACATACACAAGCACAGATGAATACACACCATTGAATAGATTTAAACAATACTCAGCTTCATGCCTGAGTATTGCAACTGAGTAAGCAACTGCTTTTAAAGACAAAGTTTACAAGTGGGGGGGGGGGGTGGAAACAGATACTTGTGTATGAAAAGAAAATCAACCCCAAAAAAGGCTACATTTAGATGAATTAAACTAAGTTAAAAACCGAAAAGAAGGTCAGTGTATGGTAGATGGGCCAGTTTGTCAAGGGGATCCATGTGTAAAACACATGTGTGCTGTAATACATAATGGCACACTCAACAATGGCATCAGACAGCAGAACTTAAAGTACTTAGCAGACCGAAAAGGCGTCAGTTATAGTAACAGAGCAGAACTAAAAGTCTACAGTAGTCCCTATATATTAAAAAAGAAAATCAAGATCTAAAATAATAGCACAGCAAAATAGGAAAAAAGGTGTGCAAATCATGCATGTGATAAATTTTAATATCCAAATTTATAAGGAACTCAACACTAAGAAAGTATTAAAAATGGGCAAAATACCTGGAGCAAACATTTTTAAAGGCTGCATACAAATGCCCAAACTGTTCATGGAAAAGCATGCTGCACAGTGAAATCCCACCTCAGCTGTCACATAGCCATCAGAGGAGGGAGGCAGAGGAGGGGCTGATACTGGCAAACTATGTCAGCACAGCTGCTGTCGTGGAAAACAGAAGTACCTCCGAAAACTGGAAACGAGAACCATGCCTGCTATCACCCTCAGGGTTAGCACCTGAAGAAATGACGTCTGTGTGGTAAGATCTGTGTTGCTACTGTGTCAAGGCACAGGCTGTAGCCACAGCTCCCTAAGTAGTCCTGCTGGGAAGGGTGTGCACATGTGGTTCAACGGGGGCGTGTGGGGACTCTGCACCCCACTCCCTTCTGCAGCACACGTAGAGCTGCTCTCGTGGTCAAGGTTCTCTCAAGGACCAGAACTGGCAGAATGAAAACGCGTAAGGGGGTTTCTTCGAGTGGTTTACAGGACGTGAGCTGCAGAAGCTAACAACGGCTGAGCCGGTAGCTGAAGGTCGACAGGGCCAGATGTCTCCGCAGTCCCAGTCTGATGCTGGAGGCCTGGAGGAGAGCTGCTGGTTTTCAGGGGGGGCGGTGCAGTTCTGAGGAAGTTGCTTTCAACATCAGTGAAGGGATGCCCAGCACCAGAACAAATGAACTTGGCAGCCAGAGTGAGGAGAAGCAGGCAAAAGGGTCCCTCCCTTGACCTGTTTGTAGCTAGCGCAGCTGGAACTTAGAGTAACCTTTGAGAAAATCCCTCTCAGGAGTGCCCAGTAGTTTGTGTTTCAGCTGTCAATGGACAACCAAGAGTGGCCACCACAGCTCTTTTAAAAGGTTTCTTGTGTCTATTAAAGGGCTATTGAGCAGGTTGGAAAGATGGCTCAGTGGTTATGAACAGATGAGCCAAGTTCAGTTCCCAGCCACAACAATGGAACCACAGCTGCCTGCAGCTCCGGCTGCAGGAGACCCAATGCCTCTGGCCTGCTAACGCCTCCGCACTGGTGTGCACATGCCCACACTCAAGTCACAAAGGGAGGCAATGCATCTTTCCTGGGAAAGTCATTGGCAGTTGCAGTGTAGACTGGAGTGGAGACTCCAGTGATGATAGAGCGTGGTCCTTTTACCGGTCCTCTAGCCAGGGTGTGCCAGGGCGATGCCAGGCAAGGCCTGCGTGGACTGGCCCAGAGGCTCCAGTGGCTGTGGTCTGTATGTGTGCGGTTAAATGTCCCAGACACCGAGAGTGAAATGCTTTGTTTGCAATCCCGGAATATAGCTTGCTGAAGGGGACTTGATGTTCTGAGCTCCCTGTAATCCGCCTTATCTTCTGCTTCCCCATTTGGGGGTATGAAAATAAAATTTGCCGTTGGTATACTCACTGGCCTAGGTTGTCAACCCTTGAAACCCTCCTGACCCCACTCTTGACCCTTTCCTTATCTCTTTATTAATTTTTCGTCCCCAGTGCTCCCCCTTGACACCCTGTCCAAGCCCCTGATACAGCTACAGCTGGTCTGGGGTGAGTGGCGGGTGATAAAGCACATGCCACACAGCCTACCTGCGTTTGACCCCTGGGGCCCCAGAGAAAAAGGGAGAGACAGCTC